CAATACATTAAAAAAAAATCACTCACCATGATCAAGTGGGATTTATTCCTGGGATGCAAGGGTGGTTCAGTATAAACAAATCAATGTGATACATCACATCAATAAGAGAAAGGATAAAAACCATATGATCATTTCAGTAGAGGCAGAAAAAGCATTTGACAAAGTACAACATCCATTCATAATGGAAAAAAAAAAAAAAACCTCTCAACAAAGTAGATTTAGAGGGAACATACCACAACATAATAAACGCCTTATGTGAAAAACCCACAGTGAACATCATACTTAATGTTGAAAAATTGAGATCTTTTCCTCTATGGTCAAAGAACAGACAGGGATGTCCACTCTCACCACTGTTATTTAACATAGTAGTCCTGGAATTTCTAGCCACAGCAATCAGATAAGAGAAAAGAATAAAAAGCATCCAAATTGGTAAGGAAGAAGTAAAACTTTCACTATTTGCAGATGACATGATACTATTTAGAGAAAAACAGAAAGACTTCACTAAAAATATACTAGCGCTGATAAATGAATTCAGTAAGGTTGCAGGACACAAAATCAATGTACAGAAATTCACGGCATTTCTATACACTAGTAAGCAGCAGAAAGAGAAATGAAGAAAACAACCCCATTTAAATTGTACCAAAAATAATAAAATACTTAGGAATAAACTTAACCAAAGAGGTGAAAGACCTGTACTCTGAAAACTATAAACACTGACTGAAAGAAATTGAAGACAACACAGTGAAATGGAAAGACATTCTATGCTCATGGATTGGAAGAATAGAGATTGTTAAAACATCTATACTACCCAAAGCAATCTACAGATTTAATGAAATCCCCTATCAAAATACCAACAGCATTTTTCACAGTCCTCGAACAATCCAAAAATTTGTATGGAACCACAAAAGACCCCAAATAGTCAAAGCAATCTTGAAAAAGAAAAACAAAACTGAAGGTATCACAATTCCAGACTTAAAGTTATATTACAAAGCTGTAATAATCAGAATAATATGATACTGGCACAAAAACAGACACATAGATCAACAGAACAGAATAAAAAGCCCAGAAATAAGCCCACAATTATGTGGTCAATTAATCTTCAACAGAGGAGGCAAGATTATGCAATGGGATAAAGACAGTCTCTTCAACAAACAGTGTTGGGAAAACTAGACAGCTACCTACAAAAGAATGAACCTGGACCACTTTCTTACACCATACACAAAAAATAAACTGAAAATGGATTAAAGACCTAAATGTGAGACTGAAACCATAAAAATCCTAGAAGAGAGCACAGGCAGTAATATCTGACATTGGCCATAAGAACATCTTTCTGGATACATTGGAGACAAGAGAAACAAGAGCAAAAATAAACTATTGGGACTGCACCAAAATAAAAAGCTTCTGCACAGCAAAGGTAACAACCAACGAAAACAACCTACTGAATAGAAGAAAATATTTGTAAATGACATATCCAGTAAAAAGTTAGTGTAGAAAATCTCTAAGACCAAAAACCAAATAATCCAATTAAAAATGGGCAGAAGACATGAACAGACTAACAGATATATGAAAAGATGCTCAACATCACAGATCATCAGGAAAATGCAAATCAAAACCACAGTGAGATATCACCTCACACCTGCCAGAATGGCTAAAGTCAAAAGAAACAAGTGTTGGTGAGGATGTGAAGAAATAGGAACCCTGGTGCACTGTTGATAGGAATGCAAACTGGGGCAGCCACTGTGGAAGACAATATGGAGGTTCCTCAGAAAGTTAAAAATAGAACCACCCTATGATCCAATAATCGCACTACTGGGTATTTACCCAAAAAATACAAAAACACTCATTCAAAGGGATGCATGCACCCTTTTGCTTATTGCAGCATTATTTATAATCGCGAAATTATTGAAGCAACCTAAGTCCATCAACAGATGACTGGATAAAGAAGCTGTGATACACACACACACACACACACACACACACACACACACAGGAATATTATTCAGCCATAAAAAGGAATGAAGTCTTGCCATTTGCAACAACATGATGGTGCTAGAGAGTATAATGCTAAGCAAAATAAGCCAGTCAGAGAAAGACAATGGCATATGATTTCACTCATATGTGGAATTTAAGAAACAAATAAACAGGGAGAAAAAAAGAGACAAACCAAAAAACAGAATCTTAACTATAGAGAAAAAAACTGATTGTTACCAGAGGGGAGGTGGTGGGGGTTGGGTGAGACAGGTGAGAAGGATTGAGTACACTTATCTTGATGAGCACTGAGTAATATGTGGAATTATTGAATCACTATATTGTACACCTGAAACAAATACAACATTGTATATTAACTATACTGGATTAAGAATAACCTCTCTTTCTTCTGACAGAAAAAAGACAAATTGCTAGAAAATTCAGGAGAAATACTAGGAACTTGAAACACTTTTTATATTATTAAATATCTTGTTATAAGAAAAAATAACCCTTCTAAATAATCTATCTTAGTTTTAACGGACATATAGGTGAATATTTGATTCTTGTCATTTTTTTTCCCTGGATTTTGTGTTTGCAAGTCTCAATAACTCTCTTAATGAGATCTAATGTAGTGAGCCTGAACATTGACATGACTGAGTCTAAAAACTGTTTTCCATATTGCTTTCTTATATTTATGCTTAGTTTTTTTAAAATCTTTTTTAGTACCTTATAATACACCTTTTTTGCCTCCTCAGCAACCGTGTTGAAGCATGGACAAGAGATGTTGCTTTCTTACTCAGACAAGAAGGCAGACCGACGGTTAATCTTATCCCTAAAAAGACTAAAGTAAGAGTAATGGAAAGGGACTGGGAGAATACAGACAGAGCAGTAAATTGGTTAAGAAAGGAAGCAAGTAATTACACTCACCCATTTGTTCTGTACTTGGGATTAAATTTACCACATCCATATCCTTCACCATCTTCAGGAGAAAATTTTGGATCTTCAACATTTCACACATCTCTTTATTGGCTTAAAAAGGTAAGTACACTATTGTGTGCTCAAAAGTACAAGTTAACATTATAAACTATGTTATTGGTACTTGCCCACTGCTTCTTTTATTATCACTTTGAAACAAAAATTTGAAAATTCTGTATCTTAGTAAATCAAGTATGACCAATAACTGGTTGCAAAAAACAAAGGGGCAATATTACAGAAATAAAATAAGTATTAAAACTCAGTAATCTACTTCTGAGTTAACACATCTGCATATAATGTGTCTATAAAAAAAGCAACTGGGGTGCCTGGGTGGCTCAGTTGGTTGAGTGTCCGACTCTTGGTTTCAGCTCAGGTCATGATCCCAGAGTCCTGGGATCGAGCCCCGGGTCAGGCTCTTCGCTCAGTGTGGGAGTCTGCTCAGGATTCTCAATCTCTCCCTCTGCCCTACCACCCCCCCGCCCCCGGCCCAGCTTGTGAGCTCTCTCTCTTAAATAAATAAAATCTTAAAAAAAGAAAGAAACTAAAAGATGTTCTCTTAAGAGTGCAGGCAGTCTTCACTTGGCAGAGTTCAGGGGGTAAAAGTGACCATGCAAGCTGAAACTGTACAAAGAGATCTCAACAATCAATTGAGAAAATGACCATTTTTCTAGGACTCTTAAAAACATTTGTCAAGGGGCACCTGGGTGCTCAGATGGTTGGGAGTCTGCCTTCAACTCAGGTCGTGATCTCCAGGTCCTGGGATCGAGCCCCATGTCAGGCTCCCAGCTCGGCAGGGAGTCTGCTTCTCCCTCTCCCTCTGCCTCTCCCCCTGCTTGTGCTCTCTGTCTGTCTCTCTCTCAAATGAATAAACAAAATCTAGAAAACAACAACAACAAAAATTGTCAAAACATTAAGCCTCTCTTATTTTGGGTTATAAATGTGCAGGGAAATGAAAAAAAGACAGTAAAACTAATGTTGAATGCACTGTAACTGAAAATACTAGAAATATTGAGGATTAAAGTGTTTTGGGCTTTTGAAAAAAAAAAAAAAACAGATCAAGAATTTGAACTGCTTGTCTTCTCACTGTATAACAAGATATGGAGCAAGCATCTTCTCTAAGTCTTGGCAGACTGTCCCATCTCTTTCTAAATGTGGATCACCTTCCAACATTTTACCCTTTGAACTCCCAATGTGATGATATGTTTCTGAGAGTTCTTTTAACCTATGGATATTTGCCAGTGTCACTTTCTCTAGGATGTGTTCACCCTTTTGTTTTGCAACGACCTTCCTATTTTTATCAATGAGTTTGTCTACACTAAGGTCCTTCGGCCGCGTAGCTAGAGTGTATCAGATGGCAATGTCAGCATTCCCAGGTTGGCTCTCTTTTCTATAACTCTAGTTAATGTTTGATTCAGGTTTCATGTACAGTGTTATCACTTTTTTATTTCTTTACTGTACATTCATCTTTTTTGACCAATCCCCTCTTTTGATTATCCATTTTTGTAAAAGTGCCACATGGAGGTCTCACTGGGAGACAAGGACGCAGCCCAGCTACATACACCTTGGCTGTACGTATGCATACCGAATAAACGATAAGCAGGGACCAGTCACTGATAGACTTTGAAAAAAATAACAGGATGAGTCACTGATTGGGACACACACCCGTAATATACAGGGATTTGTAGACTAAAGAGCTAGCAGTATTTGAATGTGAAAGTTTGTACTTTATGCAGTAACTCACAGTTAATATACTTTGGTAATTAAAATGTATGTTGTTGGGGGACTGGTGTTATGTAACTAAACTGTGGTAAATGAAATCCAGGCACATCTGAACCATGCAAACGGGACCGCCTGTGTTTTGAAAGGTATCAACTTAAATTGAATTTAAGTTGCTTTAAAAACTCTAATCAGAAATGCTGTTTAGCGAACCCTGTTTCAAAGGAAACAATGTCAAAACTGTAGATACTTCATGTCTTCTGAAAAAGTTGCAACTGGCTCTATCTTGAAAAATTAGTACTAGCCTAAGGAACTGAATCAAATAATTTATAAGTAAATAGTAAGTAGATATCTGAGGTTTTTAAGTTACATGACTAAAAGAAGTATATGACTTAAGTTTAGTCTTGTTTTCACCAAAACTATAAGGAATCATATGTATATTAAAAAGTTGTATTTGTTCCTAGCAAACATTTGGCTGTCTCACTAGATATTGGCAGTTTTACTAGTGAACTACTGGGAACAAAATCTAGATTCTGAGTTTGTTGATTCTGGAATTTTGAGTTGGTCACCCACTATATTAAAAAGCTTGGATACTTTTTCTGGACTAGAATACTGTCTAAAATAGCTCATGTTTTTCATTGTCATGTATAATTATAAAAATAATTTTCATAACTTACTATATATACAGATATTAATATATACATTTTGTTGTTACTAGGAATAGTAACAGTTTGTTCCTAATTATGTATTTGATTTACTATTTTCTTTACATAACTCATAACTATTTTCTTCTACATTCCTAAGTAATTAAGCATTGTCTAGTTCACCATACATACTTGTTGGAAGAGAAGAATATTACTACCTTGTTTTTCTCTCCTTTTTAGGTTTCTTATGATGCCATCAAAATCCCAAAGTGGTCACCTCTGTCAGAAATGCACCCTATAGATTATTACTCTTCGTATACAAAAAACTGCACTGGAAAGTTTACAGAAAAAGAAATTAAAAATATTAGGGCCTTTTATTATGCTATGTGTGCTGAGACAGATGCCATGCTTGGTAGGTGGTATATTTAATAAGCAATTAAATGAAGAAAAAGTATAATATTTTTCCAACAAACTGTGATCATGCTGGTTGCTGACTTGTATGAACTTCCTCAGACAATGTTTTACAACAGTTTCTTAGATGCTAAAGGCTTAGAATTATAAAAATCTTGACACATATAAAATTGGATAATTTGCATTATTAATCATGGAATAAAAAGCCTTTTCTATCTTAATTATTCATAAATTAATAAATGCTCAGATTTGTTCATACATAAAGACAAGACCATAGAAGGCAATTACCTGCTTGACACAAAACTTTTTACCTGCTTTAAACAGGAATCAGTATTTAACCAAACACAGGTACACATGTGACAGGTAATTGTAAGGCAGCTTAGATTCTAAGAGATAAGAGTTTAGTCACAGAATCTTGTGAATTCTCCCAGACTTGTAATAATTAGAAAACAAAACCATTCTTCCCAGGCGTAGGGTTTAACTAAACCTGACATCATTTTCCACATGTGTATTCTGGTCCAGAATCATATTGACTTTCCTTCCCTAGTTCACCTCAAAACTCTACCTGCTTCCATAAGATGACTGTCAAGAAAGTGTTTTGCCTACTCACTTGCAGAGTTAATGGCAGTTTCCAGTTTAGATTGGAGAATGCTTGGCTTAAAAAAAAATCCATCTTTTTAACAAGTTATTTTCCTATTTTGGTATACTTTAGAGTGGAGCAAATTGCATTAGTGGAGTGTGGGAAGCACCTCTTCTGTACAAAGTAAATTCTGAGAGTGAACAAGTGAGTAGCTATTTCTTAAGAAGCATTCATTGGGCAAAAATAGAAAAGTAGAAAGCAGAAAGCAAAAAAAAAAAATTATGGACAAATTATTTATAATATACGAAGTATAATATGAATTAAAAGTCTTAAAGATTTTCCAAGTACTCAATCTTAAATGCAAATGATATTTAAAGTAAATTTCTTTAATCCTAAATCCACACAAATGTTGAATTGTTTTTCATATTTTCTGATGTTAATGAGTATTCACCCATTTGTACCCTGGAAATCACTTTTGAAAGTTTGCAGCTATCCATTCATCCATATTTACTAAGGTGAAATACTATATATATATATATATATAAAATGTTGCTGCAGGGAGTGTGGAATACCTCTTGAAGTCTCTTAGAGAAAGAAATGCAGCAGCTCAAGTTTATGAAATAGGTGATATCTTGTTATATCCACACTAGTCTCGCCACCAAATAGTATTTCTTACTGTTCACTGTGCTTGTTCAACAAATATTTAGTGCCCACTAGCTAGCTATCAGGCCCTATTTGGGGCACTGATGGTACTAATTGAATATTATTACGAAATCACACTTTTTAAATTAAAAACACTAAGCTCTTGCTCCCCCTCGGGGCCTTTGTATTTGCTTTTCCCTCTGCCTGGGATCCTCTTCCCTTTGCTTTTTACATGGCTGGCTCTTCTCAGTCTTTAGCTCTCAGTTCAAATACCAACTCCTCAGGAATGTCTTCCCAACCACCGTAAGTTAGTATACCAGCCCCACCATACTACTTACTCTCTACCTTATCATCTTGATTGTTTACATCATAATCGTCAATTATTTTGTCTATTTACTTGTTTACTGTCTGCTTTCATTGAACAGGGGAGCCTTATGAGAGCAGGGACTTCAGTGTTAATCAAGATTGCATCCCAGGTGCCTAGCTTTGCATCCATGGTGCCTGGCACATAGTAAGAACTCAGTAAACATTTCCTGGATGAGTTTAAACACCAGCACTTGTAGCATGTTGTTGTAACTACAGCAGAATACAAGTTGTAGAGGCCTTGGAGGACAGTGATTCAGTCCACCTAAAGGAGCAGGCAATGTTTCGCCAGGGAGATAATGCTTGAGCTTGGTCATAAAGGAAGAATGGGAATCTGCCAAGTAGAAGGTGGGAGAAAAGGCATCCAACACAGAAGAAAGCAGAGAATGTACAGAGGCAAGAAAGTCTAACCTAATTATTACTAGTTCAGGGATTTAAGTAGTTTAGGACTATAAAAGGTAAAGGCCTAGGAGGTAGTTGAGGGTGCTGAGCTCGCTAAAGACTTAGACGATGGGAAATTTTGAAAAAGTTTTAAGCTGGGGTATGTCATGATCAGATATTTTAGAAAGATAGCCACCCCAGTGGTACAAGAGTTAGAGGGGAAAGAGATATGTGAGCAAGAAGACCAGTTAGGAAGCCATTATAGTTGTCCAGTTGGAAGATCCTGATGGTATGCACTCTGTAAATAACTCCATAGGACAGTGGGTCTCAGTTTGACTGGACCTCAGAATCACCTGTGGGTTTTGTTTTAATAATACAGACCCCTGTAGGCCAGGATTCAGGAATTGCCAAAATAGGGATGATTCTTCTCTCTGGACTATGCCTTTCTGTGATTCTTTTAATTACAACGAAGAGGACACTAAGAGACAGGGACTGGTCAGAGGAATTTTACTGTCCAGTTATTCCCTAACCAAAAATATGCTAAGTCTGACCTGCCAATTGGGGATCTGGGAGAAAGGGTAGCCGGGAGAAGAAGTTCTGACCTCCCATGGGGCAGAAATTGTGGGTTGGTGATAATACCAATCCTTCCATTGTCTGGGACACCGTATAGTGCTGGCATCTAGAGTTGTCTTTCTTTTTTCGTTTAAGTCACTAAGGGGGAAAAAAGTTTTCCCCAATCTCTGATAGGAACATAGAAAGCAAGCCAGCATAATCTCCAAATAAAGAAACTTTTTAATCTCCAGATGAAGAAACTTATCCTATCAGTACTATATTTTCTCCTTCCTCTCTCATCTGTCAGGTGAAGAGCAGGCACATGAAATGTGGCATACCTTACTTAAGAACACTAGCTAACATTCACATGTTAAGAAGCATCCTCTTGCAGGCGGAGTTGTTATAAACTTACTGTGATAGAACACAAACTAAAAACTAATTAAGATTTATCTCAATTCGTACTGTAGGAGAAATTATTTTAGCTCTTCGCCAGTTAGGTCTTCTTGAGAAAACTGTTGTCATATACACCTCAGACCACGGAGAGCTGGCCATGGAGCATCGTCAGTTTTATAAAATGAGTATGTATGAAGCTAGTGCCCACGTTCCACTCTTGATGATGGGACCAGGAATTAAGGCCAACCTACAAGTACCAAATGTTGTTTCTCTTGTGGACATTTATCCGACTATGCTTGGTAAGTAACACAATTCTGTAAATATTTGTAATAATATTGGAAAATGAATAAGCCAAGTAGTGAGGGACTTTGCTGACTTGTTCATAACCTTGAGCAATTCTTTTAACTATGAGTCAAATCCACATCTGAAAAATGAGGATGATACTCTTCAGGTTCCTGTAGCCTTCATGTACTACAGTCATTTTTCCCTTCAAAAGATTCACAATCAGGACATGACTATAAAGTAAGCCACAGAAGATATTCAGGTTCATAACTTTATAGATATGATTTGCATATCATATGATTCTCTGCCACCACCTCTCAAAAGTGTTAAGAAGCTCCCTTCTGGATTATTTTACCCACTTTGAAACTACTAATTTTGTACAGTGTTAGAAAAAGCCTCTTAATCGAATGTATAAACCTGTTTCTCCTCAGAATCTTTAGATTGTTCTGTGCTAAGAACTTCACTAGCTTCTTAATGTCTATAAACATAACCAGACGTCTAGAACAGCAACATATGGATAGGGGAAGTTAACAGTTTTAGTTGAAGGTAACAGAACAACATCAGCAAAATCAGAGGAAATTAAATAGAACTGTTAGTCTCTATCTAATTTAGCAGACTACTTTAAGTTCAATAACATTTAAATACTGAAATTCGGGATGCCTGGGTGGCTTAGTCGGTTAAGCGTCTGCCTTCGGCTCAGGTCATGATCCCAGGGTCCTAGGATCGAGTGCCGCATCGGGTTCCTTGCTCAGCAGGGAGCCAGCTTCTCCCTCTGCTGTGCTCTCTCTCTCTCTCTGACAAATGAATAAATAAAAAAAAATCTTTAAAAATAAATAAATAAATAAATACTGAAATTCTTCTGTTCTAAGGCACCATCAATTACAAAAAGTACCATCTATTTATAAACAGATTTTGGTGAAAGAAGAAGGTAACACAACTTAAGATATGTATGTTTCATATGTATATATGAAAATGTGAAAGAAACATATATCTGAAAACCAAAGACGTAAGAAAGTTCTTTTTTATCTCCTTTCTGCTACAAAGTCCTTCCATTCATTTAACTGAAGACTATTCCAAGGTCCTGAAATTCTTTAGGGTGAATTTTTTTCAGTGCCTTTTCCCTTTCTCTTTTATTTTACATCACTTCTTGTATATTTGAACACACTTCTTTGTTGTTCTTTTGCCTGATATTTTTAATCTCTTTAGTTTCTTAGTTGTCATTTGCTGGTTCCTCTATATCCCAAAACAATTACCGCACTTATCGTATCTATGCCACTTTTTGGCTCCCTCACATTTCAGGCAATCCTGATTACTTCCTCATTTCTGTTTTGGTAAGTTTATGTATGATTATGTATGTTTGTGCCTCTCTTATCATCTTTATAGTTTTAGGAACAGGTGCTTCTTTTTTTAAAAGATTTTATTTATTTATTTGACAGAGCACAAGCAGGGGGAGCAGGAGAGGGAGAAGCAGGCTTCCTGCTGAGCAGGGAGCCCAATGTAGGGCTCCATCCCAGAACCCTGGGATCATGACCTGAACCAAAGGCAGACACTTAACCAACTGAGCTACCCAGGTGCCCTTAGGAACAGGTGTTTCTTGATGGTGGCATCTTTTTGTAGTTTCCTCCCCTAGTTTTTCCTCATGTAGAAGTCTCTCCACCCCATTTCCAAATTTGCTGAACTTTTTAACCTTGTTCTGTTTTCTTGAAGGGCAGTGACCAGAACTGCAAACGATTATGAAAGGTTGGGATGATTCTTTCTCAGTATCCCCTCAATATATTTCATAATGGTAGTTGACATTTTGTTTGTCTTTCTGACTCTAGCAGCTCAATTGACCATTATGTACAGGGAGCTGTCTGCAGTGAGTCCTACTCTATCTATGCTTAGTCAGCCTATCACCTGATACGTAAGGTGATTAATATGCATTATTTAAGCCATTTTTCTTTAAATCTTGTTTTATATTTGCCTACAATGCAAATTTTTCTACTCTACATTTTTGATCCACCATTAACACGACTTGCCATTTTATACATCATAAAAGTTAAAAGGCATCTGCAAGATTTCACAATGGAAGATTTCACAATGTATTTAGCTAACAGATTATATAAGAAAACACTAAATAAAATTGCTTAGAATGAGGGCATTTATTATTAGGAGAATACCTGCCTATCCCTGGCTGATTTGTGTTGCATGACAATAAGGATTTCATTAGCCAAAACCAAACATTCCCAGAAACTCCTTCCATTCCTTCCCTACTCTTCTGGAAATTATGTAGGTGCTCTCCAATTTCTTTTTTCTGCAATTTGTTAATTATTACAATTTTCTAAAACTCACAGTTCTGTGTAGATTTTTACTTATTTTTATCTTTCACTGATTCTTCGTAATAGACTCCTTCTGAGTCACATTTCCCTACAGAATATATTAACAGCATTTAGATCATGTGTTGATTAGATCTGCCCAACTAGAGTAAAGGAAATTAAGCCAAAAATCAGTGTCTCTCTAATTCTAAACTGGAAATTAGCATCTTCAGGCTTAGCACAGTTTATAATATGTTTCATCACAAAAATTTTTATCACCAAAAGGGAAAAGTTACATTTATGTGGTTGGGGCAGGAAGGAGAATATCTGTACATGGGTCTTTTTATATAAAATACTGAAACATCCTACTGACCAGATGTTAACCGGAGATAAGGTAGAAAGAGAATGAAGGGGTACAGCAAGAATCTTATGCTGGAGCCAGGAAACAGCATGGCAACATTATCATGTATCTAAAATTAACCTTGGGGCGCCTGGGTGGCTCAGTCGTTAAGCATCTGCCTTCGGCTCAGGTCATGATCCCAGGGTCCTGGGATCGAGCCCCACATCGGGCTCCCTGCTCCGTGGGGAAGCCTGCTTCTCCCTCTCCCACTCCCCCTGCTTGTGTTTCCTCTCTCACTGTGTCTCTCTCTGTCAAATAAATAAAATCTTTAATAAATAAATAAATAAATAAATAAATAAATAAATAAAATTAACCTTTTTGCAAATGATAAAGCGTTAATATTAATAGAGCTCTTACAAATCTATAGGAAAAAGAGAAATACCCTACTCAAAAAGTGACCGAAAGATATAAACAAATAATTCACAAGAGAAGATACACAAATGGCCCGGATATTTTAAAGGTTCAAACTCGGTAGTCAGAAAAATATTAAAACAAGAAGATACCAATTTTCTTTCACATATAGAGTTTGCAAAGATTAAAAAAGAATTAGAAAATCTTCTCTTGGAAATAGGCCTTTCCTTTTTCTGCTTCTGGGAGTATAAACTTGCACATTTTCTGAAGGCAATGTGGCATTATGTTCCAGGTTACGCAGAAATACGCATACTTTTTGACCTAGAAATTCCAATTTTAGAAAATAACCTATAGCTAAATACAAAGATTTATCTCCATGGATATTTATTGTAGTATCACATTAAGTTAAAGAATTAGAAACAATTTGAACACCGAGTAGAAACAGATTGGGTAAAAAATAGTCAATTTTATTTTAAATGGTGAAATAATATGTGAAAATGGTCCCCATGAATTAATGAAATGTAAGCTTTAAACTGTATAAACAGGGTTTTTTGTTTTATTTATTGAGATAGGGTGTATCTAATATATTGTCCAAATCAGCACATTTTTGAGACTATTAACAGTTATACCAGGATTAACAGGCATAAACGGAGTCTATTGCCTTGTTGAACACTCTCACCAGGAACAAGGCAAAATTGTTCTGATAGTCTGTGTTTAATCTGATGTTTCAATCTATCTTTTAAAATGAAATTGCTCAGTACTGGAAGAGTTTAAAGCTACTTCAGTGAAGATTAACTCAAAAATTAGACCCGCAGGACAGTATTTCACCTCTGCTTAATAAATAACATATACAGATTGTGATAACGTATCTACAACGGACTTTTTATTTTGTGATTCTTCTAACCAATTAGGAGTTTACAAGAGATATAAAACATAATCTAGTCTTAGGATTCTAAAGGCCCTTTCTTTATTAGCTTAGCCATAGCTGTATTATTTTGTATGAATCTAAATTACACCCAGAGTATGGGATTAAATTTCTTAGATCAAAGCCTCAAGCCAGACCTCCTCTTCCCTTAACGTCTTACGGATCTCATAAATATCATATAAAAGATGGTGATTAAAAACACCTCAAATAGAAGGACATTAAATAGGAAAAACCAATTGGGATTCCTGTTTTAGTAAACCTACCTTACTATGAAAAGCCTGTTCAAATTTAAGAGGCTACAATGCTTTTATTAAAAAGTCTCGGGCGCCTGGGTGGCTCAGTTGGTTAAGCGACTGCCTTCGGCTCAGGTCATGATCCTGGAGTCCCTGGATGGAGTCCCGCATCGGGCTCCCTGCTCGGCAGGGAGTCTGCTTCTCCCTCTGACCCTCCCCCCTCTCATGTGCTCTCTCTCA